TCGAGGCCGAATGTGGTGTTTATGAGCTTCACGCCGCATGCTGAACCATCAGGCGTAAAACACTACGACGTCTTTATATTTAACATATGACATTACACTGCCACATAATCCTCACAGGGCCGTGCGATATCGCTAAACACGCTAAAACACCGAATGTTAGAAGCGTCAGGTATGCGCTGGGTATAGCCAGGCGGCCTCCGTCCCGCGCGCGCCTCCTTCCGGCAAGAAAGGGAAAGAGGTCCCCGATTTCTCCTCACTCCAATGCGCTGTCGCTCCACCTAAACTATTCTAACACCGTGACCGGCGCCATAGCAGACGGGGGAGCGGCGCTCTTTTAATCCTCAAACAAGTAGCTGACTGGCCGGCTGCCTATGCCCGACAGGTATTGTCCCTGCTAGCCGGAGGATGAGACGTCGTGTCGCCACGACGCCGTAAGTCGTTTCAGAGAGGACAACAAAGACAACATCTTCCTTGGAAGAAACCGCGGCAGCCACCGCGAATCACCCTGCTAATTGAGCGAACAGATCGGCGGACCGTTTGATGTATGCTGTCAGAAGCTTGGGACCCCTCGACCAGCGGCACACACACGACGAGGAAGAGCCCCGCTGGCGCCACCTTCAATATTGGACTCAATACTGGACGTTCACGTGGGCCGTGCAAGCTCGTACCTCTCGCCTGTTGTGTGTGTGTGATTGGTGTTCCGCTCAAGAAGGAGGAGCCCGACGGGGCTTAAAACGACGCCGCAGAGTGCTGGACGTCGCTCTGAACCATGTAACGGTTCAACCACCATGTTCGTGGTTTGTGAACTCCTAACCTTTATATGCTGTAAATAAGTTTAAATAGTGCCATAAACCTGTTGTTTTTTCGTATCCCCATCTTGTGAGCGTTCGTTTCCTTAACCCGAAGCTTCACCACGCTATCTCAAGAGACCGGGTGGACCCCGGTTCGCAACAGCTGGTGATAAGCGCTGGGATTCAGAGCGACTACTGGTGAACAGCACCGAGAGCCGCAACAATTGGTGAACAGCGGTGAAATCCACGACAGTAGCCACCCGAGACGAACGTGTTGTCGGGAAGCTATCACCAACCCAGCTGCCTGGCCGAGGTCTCGTAAGTAAGTAGCGATCTCTCAATCCTCCCGTGTTTTCGCATCATCTGCTGCTGGCCTGCAGCCATGCGTCATCGACTTGGAAGAGCCTTGCACTTGCGTACCGGGCAAACAAGACGCTCGAGCACCTATTCTGTGCATTGCTTCGCATTTTAATTTCAATGAAACGCCTTGATCACCGCACTCCGTCGCCATGTTGCACCCACGGCTACACAAAAGTGTGTCATATTGTCCTAAGGCAACCGTACCAAGATTACACTCAGGTCCTAGGCCCAGACCTTGGCCATGGAAGCCACCCTCTTTCCCCTTCTCGTCCCACTTGCCTCACGTGACCACCAGGCGAACGGAGACACGTGTTTCTTATTCAGTAGCTGAAAAACTTCTACGAAATTCAAACAGTAGCAGGCACAAGTCATGCTTGAAAACATAAAACCCGGTCATGTACATGAGTTCCGCATGAGAGCTTTGGCCGAGTGGCTAGAACAAAAGAATATCCACACTCGGCAATGGGAGCTGCACAAACCTCCCCGTGACTTCGTTCCGCTGTGGCAAGGATCACCACCGGTCGTGTGGATGGACCCCGGTGGAAACGAAGCTCGGCTCTCATGAACACGACGAGGTCCGCGGGTACTCAGTCAAACCCCGTTGCACGACTGGGTGAGGCTGGGTGTTTAGGGTCAGCTCGGGCCCACGTTACCTAAAGGACAACGTGTGCCCTAAGACAGGCCTTAGGGGACATATTGGCTCGGAGGTTAATTCAGGGCTTGGGCGAAGGGTCGCTACCTTAATCGGAACGGGTTAACGTACCACGGCATGGCGCTTGTTGGGCGGATCGGTGGGTTGAGGTATAGAATCCACTTTGCCTTTATGCGCTGAGATGTCTGGCTGGCGTCCCCCTTGGACATGGTCGCGACGGCATGGAACACGCATACGCGATGCGTGGAAAGTGCGGGCAGGACCTCGACGGACGAGTCGGAAGTGACTCGCTCTCAAATATGTGTTTATTTCTGAGGCAGATAAATATTTTTAAATACGATAGTATTTCTTGGGAAGTTTCGACGCAGAAATTTTCGTCCGTGTGTCTGTCTGTACATTTGTCTGATTGTCCACCCTAACGTTACTCTAAACGGCACTAAAGTGATCAAACAATACTCCAAACGGCCAACCCCATCCACAGCGCCCACCCATATAGTTGAAGTTTCAGCATTCATACTTGTGCAATTGTTAATTAAAAAGCAATTATTGCGCATATCTGAGGCACCATAACAACACGTCAATATTATGTATGTGTATTTTTTACTAGAAAAGGCATGCATAAGTAATTCTAAGGACCATGGCGTTTATCACGCTGCGCTTATCATGCAAAAGTGTTTCCGACGCTTTGCTAAGACGACACGGTGGTGGCACCTACCCGTCGCCTTGCGTTCTACACTTTAACACCTCAGAGACAGGCGCGTATGCCATGGGCTCCGTTTTCCAGGATAAGTGCCAGATAGCGCTCATGTCTCACGTGTGACGTGACTTGATGCGCTCGTTCGCCTCCGCTGCATGCTCGAGGCACTCTAACGTAGCGTCTCCAGAATACCATTCACTGATTTTCTTGCGCAGAACATCATATAAACGTTTTGTTCACTCTATCCAGACGCAAGACTATCGTCTTTAGACGACATTTGCAGTGTAACATGCCGACACGGGGCCATTTTTTTTACCCTACATGACCCTTGGTATCTAAGTATGCACATATGTGGACAAAATATATGAGTATAGTGTGGTCTTAAAATCAATTCAAAATGCTGGTATTGCTTGAAAAGCTTGAAAAAAAAAAACATGTTTGTCCACAGGCTGAGAACAAACAGCAGTACAAGCGCGCACACACACAAAACAGCATTTTTGTCAGGTCACCTGTGGAGGTGTATGCATACATTATTCTGATAAGTTCACTTTAAATTCATAGAACTTTTCAAAGTGTTCGGCTTCATCAAAAAAAGGAAGGAAGGGTTGATGTCGCTTTTGTGCGAGTTTTGCGGTACTACGAATCGCAAAAGTTGTGTAAGTTTGTGGACATGATGGAGACTGAGTAAGTGTAAGAGGCTGATAGAAAGCGGAATAGTACTAGGATCCGCTTCGTTGCCATGTGGCTCTTTAAAACTCATTATCTGTATTATAAATAAAACATGACTTCTAAAAGTTATGTTTACAAGTAATTTGCTCTATTTTGCACGTATATTAAGCGGAGAAGTTATACATGCTATAACTCTGGAGTTAGCGAAAGAGAACGTTCCGATTCGGAGAGCAGCGATAATTAGTGGATTGCAGCAGAGCCATCAAAAAGCAAGGGCATCTTGAGGTGTGCTTTTCCTTTTGATGAAAGCATTCAGTTTGAACGTAACCATGAACCGATGAGAAAGCTTAGGTGGAGCTGTGGGCAAGCAAATGGGTCTTGAATGCTGCTAACGATCCTGATGATTAAAGCATTGAACGCAGGGATTAGGATGTTGATGGGGGCGATAATGAACGATGATGATGAAGATGCTGAGTCAGAGCCGTTAGCAAGCGGCCACATGAATGTTTGGGAGTATGATGGTGATATTGATGATGAATGAGTTGAACTTACGATGACCGCGAGTAATATGGTAAATAATTATGATGATAATAATCGATGAATTGAGAATAAGTTACCGGAAAATGAAATTCTTACCTACAATGAATAACGATGGTGCACCTAGGTGTTTCCAGCACCCAGATATGTGGACACTTGTTTGTTCTAGAACTGAATTTCAATTTTTCAGGTTTTCAATTTATTCCCACTTTCACATGCATCGTTATTACGCATGCGCAAGGAAATATTTGCTTGCACAAGTAGATCAGTTGTGGGGAGCGAAGGGTTATATTTTTAATTGTCAGGCTTTTTATTCATGAACATAATACAGTGTGTCCAATTTGAATTATGAGCTGTTGACATTGTATCTTGTTTCTTGCTATTTTGTTGTGTATTTTATTTTGATGTTTTGTATGCATTTTCTTATCTAGACTCTTGCATGGGCCGTGAAAAGCTTGCAGTATGTTCAAATGAAAAAAAATATTTTAGAACCACGATATCATTGTGAGAGGCTTCACAGCGGATCATTCCGCATAATTTCATTAAATTCACCTAAAAAACACGAATAGTTAGCTGAACAAGTGTCTCGTGGTTCCCGTAACAATATTAGGAACCATTTTGCTTGTTATGCCTGTGTTCTCGCCTAGAAGACAAACTCAATTGCCGAGCTCATTTTCCTAGCGTCAGCTTGCTCCAGGCTGCTGGCCAGCAAAGTGTTCAGAAAGATGAGTTCTTGTTTGTGCATTGTGCTGTGTCTTAAAAAAACATATGTATTTCGCCCACGTGACAACTATCCGCCGACTGAACGACTTATGGAAATGACGTGCGAGATAACTTTGAGTTCAGTGTGGTGCCTTACAAAATGCCTCTACTGTTCAAGGAACTCCTTGCTCTAATCGTAAAACGAAAGCAATTGTTTATTTTGCGGGCTGCCTGCATCCTCGGCCTCGCTTCTGAGAACAAAATCCGATGGCTGATTGGGGGGAGATAAAGATATGCGCAAACTCTAATTGGTCCGGACGTCTCTTCAATTTCCTAATTTTCCTTACCCCGTTATCGTTCAAACGGCTTAAGCTCCGCGTACTAAAGCGGGAACAGCTGTTGGTCGCTTGATGACTGTCTTTATCAATTTGCCTTCTAAAGAGAGCGTCTTGATAAGAGCGTTCGGAAATCAGAGGCTGTATAGACAACGAGAAAGCGCTTATCATGCCTTGATCCTTCCATACGACCTTTGTTTCGAGCCGGCGAGGAGGGCAGGCACGTGAGTCTGCCGACAGCGGAGACAGGCATTCCAGCGCGCCGGCTAGTGGGCGATATACATACGTGTAGCCATAACACGGAACGGATGGGTACTGGGCATCACGTATCACGCGGGTCCAGAAGGCTGGTGTGACTCCACCGACGGAAGAGAGCGCCCTCCGGTGAGGCGCGGTTGTCTATACGGTTCCGGGCAACGAGAGTCGCAGTTTCGGAAGCACCGGCGAAGCGCGGGAATCGCGCGCCTGCTGGAAAGTTCTTCACTGGTGCACGCAGGTAACGTGGCACTTTGACTTGCTGTTGGAGTTTTGATCCAGCGAAATTTGTGAACTGACCTAGGCTTCTGACAGTGCTTGCGCGTGGTGTCGCTATGTTGCATCGCAGTTCTTTGGAAGAATCGATTGGGAAACGATTACGTAGAGTGTTCCTGCAATAAATGCAAAGCAAATCGAAGAGAGGCCTCAATAGTCTCAACGCCACCTTTCGAGGAATTTGTCCTTTTGTTGATATAGGGTTCGTCTCATCAACCGCCGCCGTAGTTAAATTGGCAGAGAATCGAACGCGTTATTCGAAAATTTTGGGTTCGATCCGTGCCGGTTGCAAGTTTAGTTCACGTTCGCTTTAATTTCTTCACGTCTATATCGTGATTGCTATATTATAAAGAAAAAAACGATTCCTACGCTTTCCTTCTCTTCTTTGTTCGTTAGTTTTATTTGGGGCTGCGTCCAACAAATTAAGTCGAGCCTCTAAATATTCTCGTTGTTTATACACTTGCGTTACTATAAATGACCGACAGCCTGAAGTTAGGGCTGCGTCCAACTAATGAAATCGAGCCTTTAAATATTCTCATTGTTTATACACTTGGGTTACTATAAATGACCGACCGCCGCTTTTCGCAGATGGAGTCGAAGAAAAGGATGCAACTGACGGTGGCGGCACTGGTCATCTTTGCCCAAGCGGCCTGGAGTCTGGAAGCTTGGGTGAAGTACGACCCGTTTGCAAAGAGCTTCGAGGTCAAGGTGGGACCACCCGACACCAACGACAAGATCGCCGCTTGGGGTTCGTTCCACAACGCCATCAACAAAACCGGGTATACGAAGCCGTCGATAGAGCTGTTTTTGTGTGAAACGCACATGCACATGTTTGATGTGCGTTGGGGAGCCTGTTTGGCTCAGTGATCATCTCATGGTTACACACACCACTAGCGGCCATGTAAGCACGCACGCATGCACGCACGCACGCACGCACGCACACGCACACACACACACACACACACACACACACACACACACACACACACACACACACACACACACACACACACACACACACACACCTCCTTAAAGGGGCCCTGCAACACTTTTTGAGCATGGTCAGAAAACGCCACAGATCGGTAGTAGAAGCTCCCGACAACAAGCGAGCCAAATATTATAGTGCAGCACGCGGCCTGGAATTCACAATAAATTATGAAAGTCAGCTAAAATTGTTATCTCTTGCCTTGACGAATCCCGAAATACGCCCAAAAATGACACGTAACAAGCGCATCTATTAGCCATTAGCTGATTTGAACACGGCACGCTCGCTCGTTACAGAGATTGCCGCAGGAGCCCGCTACTTTACGCGTGCGCGCGCGATCGCACTGAGAAAGCCGCGCATTCGAAGAAAAAGAATTGCTCAAGGTCGCGAAGCACACGTGACTTTTTTTTTTTGTGGCCCTGCCATCCCTCCCTGCTTAGCTTCCACTGCTTTTGTCGGAACGAGAGAAGAGAGAATCCAATTGCAGCATGCGACAAACCTTTGCAACTCCAGTCGCACATGGACGGATTCTTAAAATGTTTGCGGCATCGAATCAGTGAGGCAATAAGCTCTTCCAGTGAATTCATTCCATAGTTACTTGAAAAAGTGTTTAGGGCCCCTTTAAGGGGAACTGTGCGCACACCTGTAAAATTGAGGCGTGGCATACCAAAACGTATGATAGATAAAATCAAATGCTTCAACGACTACTTGTCACGTAGACCTTCACGTGTGTGGAATCGATGGGTTCACCTATTTCATGGGCGTGTGGAGATAAGTTCACGTGCTTTCTTTCTTTTCCGCAGTTGAGCGCCTTTGCAGTTGTTATTCGGTGCATGTGGTGTAGTGATTTCACTCTCGTGTCGTTATTGGCACGCCGTGTCTTTTAGCAGGAGATGCTGCGTGGGCAAATGAGAGTGCAACTGCTGCACCTTCCCATGAGGTGGCACAAGCTGGCGCCAATACAAAGGGTGATGCGGTAGTGCTATGTATTTTTGATTGCAAGGCTCTTGTTCAATTAAATCACTTCTTAAATAAGGCTAAATAAATGTCTGCTTGCTAAACTTGTGGTAAAATAACAGAAGTGACATGAAATAACTTCATTTATGCTATGTTTGTTCTTTGTAAGATGGTATTATTTTAAGTTAGAGAAATTTCAGTGATGTTAGATATATTTGAGGTGTGCGGGAGAGAAAATTGAACTTATGGATTTGAAGTCCTGGAAGTATCTCTGCGCCAGAAAAATGGGTACGTCACGCGCGGATCGAACTCCCGGTGATATGCAGCCTGTAAAAATGTAACAAATAATTGGACAACGCCTTAATGAACAGTGATTAACAGATGAAGGCCCTGATACAACACCATAGCCGGCCGTTCCATTTTCGCCTGTAGACCAACTGTGCGGAGTGCTTGGAAGATGAGGTTCTCCACCGTCAATTTTACTTCATGAGGAAATTACCTGGATAAACGCTGGGTGAAAGAAAGTAAATTCACGATCTGACATCGTTATCACGTAGAATTGATTGAATATTATATAGAGATTAACGTCCTAAAACCACCACATAATTACGAGAGACATCGTAGTAAAGGGCTCCAAAATTTCGACCACCTGTGGTTCTTGAACGTGCACCCAAATTTGAGCACATGGGCCTGCAGCATATTGGCTTTCATCGAAAATGCAGCCGGCGCAGCCGGGACTCGATCCCGCGACCTGCGGGTCAGCAGCCGAGTACCTTAGCTACTACACCACCACGGCGAGGCATCTCCGGGATTGTAAACGTGTCTTGACTTAGCCCGAGCGCACTGCTTATGTCCGTAGCTGATCATTTAGATAAAGGCACTACGATGTTAGATGGATCGTTCGATGTGCCGCGTTTCAGAAGCAACTTGATAAGTTATATTTTTCCTAGCGGAAAATGAGCGCAGCCAAAAACGAACTGTGTGTGTATTTTGAGCCTATGAATTCCTTCTTTTTGTGTTAAATTGAACATGACTGGTGACCCAACAATTGAACATACAAATAAAAGCTAATTAGGAATAGTTGGCACAGCTTGCGAAAAACTTCTTTCGTAACTTTCTTTCCCAGGAAAGTAATATCGAGTGCCTTAAAATTGTGTTGTGTGCATAATAATTCATGCCTGAAAGGGATAAGTACTAGCTAACCCCCCCCCCCCACACACACACACATTAGTCTGGAAATGGACACTGTCGATACTAAATGAATAAATCAAACATATGAGCGAGCCTGCACAATAAAATATTCTTCCACCTGCCTTGATGACAGACGCTTTCGGTACAGACGGTGCTATAATGTCGAATCGAGCGGTCGTCGTACCGTAATTCTGTTAAGGCCTTATTGAACTTTTTTCAGGGGCACAGGCTATAAATACTCTATTTTGTCACGTCTTCTTTGTATACTTGTATGTATATTTCCACACTCCTGACATACCACCCGCTTCTCTTTGCGTCTTTCTTCACCGCTAACCTCGGGCAGCAAGCCCGATGTTTCAATTACGGGATACCTCCTCAGTTTTCTTCGATTGTTCTCTTTCTCTCTCACACAATCATCAAAGCACCACTTCTGCCGGGCCCTCTTCTCTCTCTCTGAAGTGACTTGATGTTTACCCGGCAGATTCAGCTTTCTGGACCTTTACACCAATGAAGAGCTGCCGGACGACCACCAGGCGTACGCAGCCGGATTTCTGGAGGGCTACTTGACGCAAGACCTGATCCGCATGCACTACAAAAACATGTGGGCCGACTACTGCAAGGACGAGGAGGCCTACTGCGAGAGGCTCTCTTCGTTTCTACAGCAGAACATGCGGTTCATGGTCAAGAATGTGAACATGCACCACTTGCGTGTCCCGTACTGGCATCAGGTGCGTGGCTTGACGAAGTGTTTTCACACCGAAGCTCTCCTAGTCTAACCTGTTTCGTCACTGCAGTAGTAGTACTTGTAGTAGGTGCCATGCAAGTCACGAAACTAGATAGGACAGTGATGCGAACTCGTGAAGATGATTGTCAATGATGATCGTGGTGCATGCAGTCTCGCTAGTCGGTAAAATATTATCGTGCTTCTGTAGCTCTCTGTCCACCGGCTTTCATGGCGAAAAACTAGGCAAAATTTAATTTTATTTATTTATTTTAAAATACCCTTAAAAGAACTCGACGAAGGTATTACATAGGGGGACTTAACAATAAATTGTAAAAAAATAAAGGAGTGAAAGTAACGGTAAAACAGTACAATTTTGACGATTTGCTGGCTCACATTCAGTAAGAAAACAACAACAGCAATGACAATGAAATAAATGCAAACTACAACAAACATTTAAATTAGGAACTGAACAAGCTAGACACAAGTGGTAAAAAAGCTAGGAGCGCAAGCTCAAAAGACAGTTACAGAATGCCTTCTCAAACAGGGTACATAAAATACACGAAATATACAAGGAAGTACACCGAGGGTAACAAAAAGGATACGCTAAAAACCACGTGGAGCGCCACATTTAGGTAAAGCGCTCAGTGCGTAGAAAAGTTTGAAATTTCATCATGTTTTTTTTTTCAGTGGCTACGTGAGGTGATAAGTGGTTTCATTTAATGATAGTGCGTGGTATGAAAGAATTAGCGAAACGATGAGTGTGACCTATGGCACGTTTGACATTGTGGTGATCTCGGCGAGGAAGAATGGCTGCAGGGGGCTGACAGAAATCGTCAGAAAAAATATTTTGTTTCCAATTCACATTCTGATCTACCTGAGACGGACAAGAGAAAACTGTGGTCAAGGTAAAAAAGAAAAAAAAAACTTTAAATTCACTGCGGCTTATTTCCATAATACGCGGGATGTTTGACATACTTTCACCTTTCGTTCATATATAGTCACATTTATTTCCTTTTCCCTTTAGATTCGCGTTTACACCAATTGGTACGTGGTCACGCGGTATTGTGAGACATTTCCAGACTGGTTCTTTTCTATATTATCCTTCGCAGTAAATATGCATCTTCTTTGAAACCATCAACAGAGGCGTCATTCACAATCCACCTTTTTCACAACGCCCCGGTGCATGCACCCTTTTCATAGCATAAAAGTTGCATGTGTCCGTTCATCTCGGAGGCTCTGCTTCTAGCAATACCGGCTGCCCCGACACTTACCCTACCCCTACCAAAACGGTAGAGGGCCGCACAGGTCAATGAAAGAGGCGAATTCTGTGGGGTCACGAACGTATGGAGACTTGTCAGTTTGAAAAAAAAATTACAAAACTACGTTTGGGTAAATAATTGTATATGAGAACGAAATGCTCATGGTTTGTCGCTAAAAAAGACCATAAGCACGGCAGGCATCAGGTCTTAACTGTGCATTTTGTCTTTTGGCACGTAGAACACTGTGTACTAACACGCGAAAGTGTAATTGTCGAGATAGAGACTCACCGACAGACTCGGCAACATCGTGGGCTAGACAAATAACCGCATTAAGGGAAACATATATACAACGAGCTTTAGAAAACAAAAGCCGCCGTAACCTTCAGGTCGAATAGATTGTCCATGAATACCAGGAGAAAGCCGCACAATAAGGTGTTGGAGATAACGGCCACTCAGAGCGCGTTCACAGCAGATCCCATCGCCAAATGCGTACACACGGAAAGCGTAGTGCGTGTCTATTGGGTCAGACATGTTGTCACGAACACTATTCGAGTGTTTCCGTCTCCTATAATCGGTTCGTTTAGATGGGTGTGATAACTTTTGGCACTTCGCCTTACTAAAGCGGCTCTCAGTGTGCGCTGGTTTCAGAGGACGAGTGAGAAAAAACACAATGAGCTGGCAATCTGTGTGGGCCTTTCGCCTCAACAGGCCCGATATTAGCTAGCAATAAAGATGAAAGTAATTGTTGTCATTCGCAAAGGTAGATAACTGCAGCATTCACGTGCACAATCAGGTAAAAGACAAAAAAACGTTGTTTTGTGGGTCTTCGCGTACCCCTAAACGCTACGCCTATAGTACCTCTATTTGGTGTGAAACGTGAACAAATTCGTTCCATGGGTAACCCAGAGATTTCGGATAGCGTCTAATGCGGGAGATTTATTAATTCAAGGATTGGCAGCACTCTCATAGTTCATGATGTTAATGACATAAACCAATTGGTGATTACAAGACAGGTGCCTTCGTAGAGCATTAACGGAACTAGATAGGAGTAACGTGAAACAGATATCTGAAGTCATGTCTTCGCGCACTGCAGGTGTTCCTGAAGACACAGTGTCCTGCCGCAATTTGAAACCTGCACCGAGCAACTTCGGAAATGGCGATCGCGCAGCAGGCAAAGATATAAGTGGGGTTACTAGTTGTTTCAGGCATCGGCTTGATTGTGCCGTGTATTTAAACCACAGGCGTAGACAGAGGGGGGGGTGGGGTTGAATACAACCCACCCCGAAAGTTTAGATTTAGCATGTGTACGCGCGCGCATACAAACACACGCACGAACATACATAAACTATGGTTAACGCATTCCCCCCTCCGCCGAAAACGTTCTGGCCATGCTAATGAATTTGAATCAGGCTCTGTGTTTTTCTCTGAGAGATTGAATGATCATTCGTATACATTTGTTGGCTTTATTAAATATAATTAGCAGCACTTCTTTTCATTTCATTGCAATTCTTTATCTGTTTCATTCCGTAAGATCGAGGGATGACGCTGATCAAAGTTAAAGGTGCAATAAGACAGCTTAACGTGCCCTTAACCCTCGTTACATTAAGGCAGCAAGCCACGCAATCATATTACAGAAACATCTTTAAAAAGCAAATATGTTATATTGTAACAGAATAAAGAGTAATTAATGATGAACAACGCAATATGACAGTGGCCGGTAGAATAATTAATACAAAGACACAATGACATTGGTTACGCTTGAAAACACATAATTAAGCCACTAACAGTCCGCACATCTTAATGGGAAGGCAGATTGATTGATTGATATGTGGGGTTTAACGTCCCCAAACCACCATATGATTATGAAAGACGCCGTAGTGGAGGGCTCCGGAAATTTCGACCACCTGGGGTTCTTTAACATGCTCTCATATCTTAGCACACGGACCTACAACATTTCCGCCTCCATCGGAAATGCAGCCCGCCGCAGCCAGAGTTTGATCCCGCGACCTGCTGGTCAGCAGCCGAGTACCTTAGCCACTGGACCACCACGGCGGTGCAGTGTGAGGACAGGTGACGAATGAAATATTCAAGGATAATTAAGGGAGAATTGATTAGGTGTATGCAGTGCAGACCTTGTTACAATTGTCATAGTGATGCTATAATATCGAAACCTCATGTGTCGAGCGGAATCATTCCTTTTTGGCGTTCTCTCCTTCCCAGGTGTACCTGGTACTTCAACAGATGCAGGGCCTGGAGAATGGTAGAACGGCACAGGGCAGGCATTACTTCCCCTTCGAGTGCGACGTGAACGTCACCGCCACGCTGTGAGTTTTAAAACGATCTTGATGAATTTCAGCAGGCAAAGTGCGTTTGGTGGAACTCCGCAAGCTGGGGAGTACCTAGAAATTTGATGCGGCAGAGGAAAAAAAAGTGAGTCTCCCCAAAAAGATTAAGCAATGAATGTAATAGCAGCAAAATTGTAATGTGATACGGGGTGAGGCTGACACAGAGGCGTAGTTAGGGGGTGACACTCTGGGCATGAGCCCTCTTTTCTCCAATTTTTTTTTTTCGCCATGGCATATAGAGAGAAAAATGACCATTTAAAGGAGGTGCCCCTCCTCCCTAAAAAAAGGGCTATGCGCCTGGGCTGGCGCCTAACGCTTTTGGGTCCGATCTTCCGTAACTCCATGGAAGTAACGATAGTTATAACGCGAGAACAAAACAACGACTCAGAGACAAGAAGGACACGACGTGTCCTCGTTTTTTTTAATTGTAACTTTCACATCCATGTAACAAAAAACCTCGCAAACACTTGTTTAGTCCCATAGCCTAACTGGCTAGTACAGGGACCAATTGTGTGGCATACCTACATACTTGCGCAAGCGGTTACACAGCGACAAAGGACATCAACCTGGATACAATGTTTAAAATAGAAAAAAAGCAAAAAACATATGATTGAACTATACAAAGGAACATAGCACAGAACATAGCTACTTATAGCACAGAATAATAATAATAATAATAATAATAATAATAATAATAATAATAATAATAATAATAATAATAATAATAATAATAATAATAATAATAATAATAATATTAAATGACTATGCAGACGTATTATTTAGAAAGTTCGCATGAAGTGCCTGCTTCATGGCCAATGGAAAATTTCTAGCCTCTTTCACATCAGTCGGTATCGCATTCCATATGAGAGCGCCATGAAATTCTATGAGCCTTCGACCGTAGGCATTTCTGGCTACTGGTAAATTAAAACAGTGATTCGCTGCAGCTCTTGTACAGCGCGCGGGTAACGTAAAGGTGCTTAATGGGAATGGGTCATCATGTTTTATTATTCCACGCACTATATCAGCAACACTAGACACGTGAACAGAGTCCAGTGCTATAACTATCGTCATGCCATACCAACTAGCTCAAGCTGCCACACTCCATGGAACTGCTGTAATCGAATGTGGCCGCTCCAGGGAGAGACTGTTTCCTCATGGTGTGTTCGTGTTGATCGCGCAGCACGCAGAGTTGTACACAAGCCGCCCATTAATGGTTGCGCCACGCGTGCCAGCAGCGACCGCGCCCAAAAAATCAAAGTTTAATTTTCAAAGTTAAGTGGCACCCTTCCTTCTCGCGTCTTTTCATGCTCGTCCAAACGGGCAAGACGTTTCCTTTAAGCTACGACGGCAGGCTTCCCGAGCGAAGTGATGTTATCGCACGCACCCTCTGAGCATGAGAATGGTCGGCTGGGTTCATCTCTGCTTCAGCCGCGTTATTCGCTCCTCCCCCGCCCTCTCACGTGGTTTTGCCCGCTTAGAGGGGCATGTCATGTGGGGGTACACTCTTAAAAAAAATTAGTAAAAGGTAGCAACTGCAGGCAAATAGGTAGTAACTGCAGTGGTTACTACATTTCTTCGACCGTTACTACTCTTTTGCTACCTCTTTACTACCTACGTTAGTATACAGTTACTACCTGCAACCGTTACTATCTTTTTGTGACCTCTTTACCACCTACGTTAGTAAACAGTTAGTAACTGAAATGAAAGAGGTAGTAATTGACGCCGTTACTACCTTTCTTGCCTCATTACTACCTCTTTACTACCCGGCTTTTGACTATCCATTCCCATATATAGTGTGTGAATGTGATTTTGATAATTTATGAGGGGAATCGTCTCGACGTATAATTATTACACAAAAATGACGCAGAAGGTATCCATAGATCAAGAAAATACATTTTGTTTTAAATTACGCAACCGAGATACGTAAACGTCATTCTGATATTGTCGCAACGAAGAAGTACAAGTTAACGAACCATAAGCAAGTGCTACACGCATCGTAATAGACAATCACAACAAACTTAGTAAATTACAGCACATGTTAACAAGACCGGCAGATCAAAATAACCAGACGGTCACTATTAGCCTCAAGGACAGTCACGGTTAATCCACTGCTGCGTGTCTCCAAATATTATTATTGTTTTGGCGGGCCAAACCCCTAAAACGATTAATACCTTTTAAACGCAGTAATGTTACTTGTGTGAAGCATTCAAATCATTAATCATTATATATCATTACACAGAAAAATGGCGCAGAAGGTATCCATAGATCAAGAAAATACATTTTGTTTTAAATTATGCAACCGAGATATGTAAACGTCATTCTTATATTGTTGCAACGAAGAAGTACAAGTTAACGAACCATAAGCAAGTGCTACACGTATCGTAATAGACAATCACAACAAACTTAGTAAATTACAGCACATATTAACAAGACCGGCAGATCAAAATAACTTGACGGTCAAAATTATTCCGACGACAGTCACAGTTAATCCACTGCGGTGTGTCTCCAAATATTATTGTTGTTTTGGCGCGCCAAACCCCTCAAACGATTATTACCTTTTAAACGCAGTAATATTAGTTGTGTGAAGCATTCAGATGCTCCGAAAATGAGTCTGGTACATTGCTCCGGCCACTGTACATAATGCTTTTTGTGGCCATTTTTTAATAAATAAATATGATAAATAATTTTTTACAGCCATGTCTAATTAAAAGTCTTGTGCTACGTTACCAAACACACGTAACCAGGTAGTATAGTGTAGTGCCATAGGTTTATATTTGTAAAAATGCACCCTGAAACGCAAATGCTCCCTTGTGCCAGACATGCCCCTACAAAGTAGGGGCTATATATGCCCCACGCTTACTTCTTACTACATGTATACGTAAAAAATAATGATCTTCGCTCACTCTCCGGCACGCCGATGCTGGTCACAGTGTAGCAGGGCCACGAAGATTGAACAATGTGTGATCCCGGATTGAATCTGCACGTGTTTCATTGAATATTTATCGGCCAGCCGTTCCGAGCATTCCAAACAGATATGGCTCCTGACGTGTGGCCACTCACAATTACATGCCCTGATGTTTTGAGGCACGTCAGTTGTTCTTTGAATGTTCTTAGGTTGCGAATATGATAAGAAAGCTTTGAAAACACCCTTGTGCTGTACCAACATTTATATACACTGAACCAGTCAACATGCACAGGTCGAGATTCATCCTTTGGACATGAATCATTGAGCAGTTCATACAGAATGTCATGGTAGATTTCTGACTTGAATATTATTCTCCTATTGGCATGGCCGCGTTGCAAGATCGTTTCCACCAGAGCCAGCCACCGCTTGCACACCCGCTTGCACCTGATGAGACTCGCGCCATCCACTAATGCCAAGATGGGCAGCAGAACCTCGTTTGGCACAACATCCATGGTTGCTTGTACTGCTATCACGTTTCGGCGTGATCGCTTGCTGGCGTGCGAAAATGAACAGATGCGGAGTCTACAAGCGAAAATTAAAAGTTGATCTCGTTTGCGCCTAAGTTGAGCAAGTGTTCAAATCATCAGCATCAGCGCGCCGGAGAGCGAGCGAGCGTAAAAAAATAGTGAACTTCTTTAGTCTATGCATTCTTCGCATTCATTGCACACCCCGTTTCTTAAACGAATTTGTCTAGTTGTAAGACATCGATTAGCCAACATTAACAGTGGAGAAAGAATATGCCAAAATGCATATTATTTATACTACCTGCGTAGTATCGGTTACTACTCTTTTTTCTTTAAACCTTTAAAAGTTACTACCAATGGGTGGCAACGGCTAGGGTAGTAACAGTTACTAAATGCTGGTAGTAACAGCAGAGGTAGTAACTGTTACCACTCTCGCCGTTACTAACTGCGCTTACTAGGAGGGTCGTAACATATGTGACAAACCATTACTACCCTAAAGTTAGCAAGTACTACCACCTTTTTTCTAAGAGTGTATGTCCTGAATTTGGCCTTTATACGTGATACGACAATGACGGCATCGGCGACGACGAAAGCCGCTAGCGTCCATGTTATCGCTATCCGAACAAAAAAAATATGGCATAAATTAGCAGATCTGTACAGACTTTCTTGTCACGTTGTGTTATGCTAGCAGGAATTTCTTGTCATGTTATGTTGGGCCAGCGCCAAGTCCTGCCAGTTTTGTCTTATTTATTCTCGCTCTTTCGAGTTATGAAGCCACGACAAGCTCATGCTCATAACCTTTCAAAGTACACTTCTTCTACATCGAGCTGTGTTGCATCCTATGTCGTACTTGAACAGTGGTGCAAGTGCGTACTTCACTGCAAAAGCCGATTTGTTTCATTACCTTGTGATGAGAAAGCATACTGTATATACAATGGCTCTTTTCTTATGCCACATGTTGAGGTTATATTAATATTTGAAAAGTGATAGAGATACCAAGAAAATTACAGGGGAACCAACTCGCCCAATCTTCAACACTCGTGGCATCCTATGTCCTCGCGAACCCTCCAGTGTGTACAGCTCTGCTGGTTCATGCAACGCGTAGGGCTCGTCAGCGCCAAGTCCGGTCAATTTTCGCTCCCTCTATCACTATCAAGGCGCTCGAGACACAAAATAAGAGTTCTATTCAGCGCGAGTGTGCGCTAAGTATGTTATAGCTCGCTCTGATAAGTGGTTTTGCCTGCATTATGCCAAGCAACGGTGACAGGACATGACAGCCTGCCCCGTTAACGTGCTCCGCACCTAAAAAAAGAGATAGCAGTTTTGCTGGAAGGGTAAAACGGAAGGATACGGAAGACAGTTAGACCAGCTTTAAGGAGTGTGTGCTTGCACCTTGTGGCTCCGAACTGCGGGATCTTCTCTCGAAGTCTCGAGCATCGAACTGCGTCGTGTTGGCGCTACACGTCGCCGCTGCATGCAAACACATATGCGTGCTAAGCAATTAACTGCTAACAATTAACTGCTAAGCAATTAAGGTACAACCCTGAAACGGCACCGTCGAGGTAATACCAAAAGAAACATAAGTAAGCAGCACGTGAAATACGTAGAACCTAAATAATTCAGTGGCACTGCAGTGTGGAATCTCGAAAATACACGGAGTAATGTCCCTTTCCCTAACAGTTTTATTTCAGGTGACGATTCGGGGCACAATGGAATGTTAGGCGCATTTCAAACATGGCTTCGATATTACTGGCCCGCCGCCACCTCGTATTAAGATCGCGTATACGTGACGCTAACAAACAAGAAATACAGTTCCACATTCGCCACCATGGCTACTGGTGGCGCTGACTGTGCTCCCATATTTAAATGCACATATTTACCTTACAAAGTGGGTGAATGGATGACCGCTGCCGTAGCTAAGTTGGTAGAGAATCGGGCACGTTATTCGAAGATTGCACGGTCGGTCGCTGCCATTGGCAGGTTATCCTTTCATAATCACGCTTCAAATTTACATTACAGTTCTAATAACATCACCTGTAATTTCTTTGGTATCTTTATCACTTTTAAAATACTAATTTAACTTCAACATGTGGCATAAGAAAAGAGACATTTTATATATAGTATGCTTTCTCACCGCACGGTTAGTGAAACAAATCACTCTTTTCAGTGAAGTACACACTTGCACAACTCTTTATGGTTCTTACATTAGTGCAAAAAAAAAAGAAATCATGAAAATAGTGAGGGTGACCTTCTGTGTCGGCTCCGGCAAAGCAACCTTTTAAAAGAACAGTATGAAGCAATAAAAAAGACCGCGCGAGCCCTATCATTACATATTATATACGAGTTTGTCGTCCACGCGCTCATCTAGCTTCTGGATTTTACTCATCCACCAGGATGCTGAACTTACACGGCGACGTGGAAGACCTGGAGAAGGTCCTGAAGCGGCGTGTGCCGAGCAGGGCGTTCGGCGAGGGTTCGTGCTCTGCGCTGGTCAAGCTTCTACCCGGAAACAAGGACCTCTACTTCGCGCACAACACGTGGACTCATTACTCCAGCATGCTGAGGGTCCTCAAGAAGTACAGGCTGCCCTACCGCCACACACCCGAATCAGGTTAGCATACAGTGACCACATCCAGCTCTAATACGCTGTACTGTAGCGTTGTAGTGAGAGCGAACAATGTACCCTAAGAAAGTCCGAAGCGTGTGCTAAAAAAAACTATCTAGCTATTAAGTGAACTTATGTGCAGAAGAACAAATCAACGGGAAAGCTACGTATCTGAACACGAGAGGATCAATATAATCGAACGTGTGCGATAGCAAACATGTATAGGCCAATTTACAGTCGCCTATCGAGGAATTCCTCATGGTTTTTCCTTGGCAGGATTTCTTCGGCAGCCCATTCTATTTAAAAGTGAAATAAAAAAGTAAAACAAACAGTGCTTAAAGGCTTCAGACGAAGCTGGGTGCTATGAGGTCATGGGGAACACTACCAGAGAGAGCAAATTGATGTGCGAGGCTGTCACAACGGTGGAGCGCGTACGTTCGAGACGTATGCACTACGAAAGGGGGCCGTTTCTGACTCGAATTTTTTTGTTCGAACATTGAACTACGAAGCAATGTCACATGGTCTCAAACTTCATAAACAAAAAAAGCTATATTGGCGCCTGTAACATTAAAACGAACATTGCGAAAGATTGAAACAATACGAAATGCTTTCGAAAAAAAAAAGGAGTTTTGTTCTCAGTCGTCCAACAAACATATAAATGCTTTATTGAAGCGATGTACTTTCTGGAGTGTGCGCATTCAGAAATTTTAGACGAGTGGCACTTAGAAGCAACTTTTTCCCTTCATAGTAATTTCAAGTTCAAGTTTATTGAGAGAATCGCAGAATGAAATGGAAATATGAAAGTGCGACATTTTGAGAAGGAGTCCCCGAACAAAAAAACTGTGGGAGGGCCTCCTAACAGTTTATTTGAAGTATTTTACTCTCCAAAGCTTTTAAAGAAAAAAGTGTAAGCTTACCAAACTGGTACTCTTTACTTACAGCGTACGGGCCTCAATTAGGCCACAACGTCGCAATACCTTGCATCGTTGCAACGTCGACTAGTATTTTAAGATTACTACTCAAGGTTGATACGTAGAATCATATAGCGTTCGAAGAGGCGTGACAGAACGTCATAGACGAATGATATTCGCACTTGATTCTATTCCTTATATGACTGGTGGCAGGTGGTTGGTATGAACTTTTAAGAGTATTGAACTGTCGGTTCGCCATGTGCTGTCGCCTTTCTCACATTACTGGAAAATGTGTGTGTATACGCCGCAACAATTCTTTTTCCGCACAGATGTCGTGATAGCGGGTCACACGACAACCTTCTCGTCCTATCCGGGCAGGATCTTCTCCGGAGATGACTTCTACCTCATTTCATCGGGTCTGGTAAGCCGTCACGCGATTTCTGATGTTGAATTAGGCTCACTGTGAACCTGACGGTGACATTGCTAGAGTTAAGACTTTGTTAATGCGGGGTTATTCGTTAAAAAACATATTGCAATGCGGGCGCTTAGGCTTGTTGGTGAGACATCTTGGAGAGTGCCTAAGGCAACGGTTACAACAAAGACAGTAAAGAGACGTGGACAAGCGCAGCACTACGTGGCTGTGCCTGGTTAATCGTGTAAGAAATAATTGAACAATGAATGTCGCTTGAACCAACGCTTAGACTAGTAAGCTTTTGTTAATGGAAGTGCAGGTGAACGTGCCTTCGATTGAATTTGAATTTGAATCAAGTTTATTTTGCAACAAGGTTGCGAGAAGGACCAGCAATCTGGCCACTTCGTACACTAGGCAGTTTCACAGCGGTTGAACAGATGTACGTCATATACATAAAGGCATGAACTAACAAAACCATTAAAACAGAAAAAAAGCCATGATCAGAAATAATTGAAAAGATTACAGTGGAAACATTTCAAAAAACAAAGGAAATGCAATAGCCGTGGCGAAGAAGCCAGAGCAAAAGGAGGCCTTTGAAGACACGTGCCTACTGAAACGCCGGTTGCAGTAACGTTCCCAGTTCAACAATTTCCGCTCATTTCAAGGATCCAGCTTCTCCTGAACGTCTCTCCAGTGAGGCAATCCTGACGTATTTGCAACAACATTTCGACAGACAGAAACGAAGGCCTTGTGACGTCAAGCGCTAATCCACCAGGATCACCTGGTGATTATGGTGCTTGGTTTCTGGCTCTAAGGTCGCCGCGCCGAATTGCGGTCGTGGCGGCTGCATTTCGCTCGAGACAAAAAAGTTTCAAACTGGTGTCCTCAAATTTACGTGCACGTGCTAAAAAGAACCGGGTGGCCGAAATGCCCGGAACCCTCCACTACCGCGCCTCTTATTATCGTACCTTGGTAATGGGAGGTAAAAAGCTTAACATTTATAACATATAGGGGATGACAGACGATGTTGGCGCATAGCATCAAAGCCTTGTGACGTCAAGCGGAGATCAGCCATGTTGGCCTGGTGGTTATTGTGACGTCGAGCGGAGATGAGCCATGGTAGCCTAGTGGTAATGACGCTGTACTATTCACCCGAGCGAACGAAGGTGAAATTCTTGTGGGCCATGAGTTAGGTACATGTTAAAGAACTCACCAGATGGTTGAAATTTCCGGAGCTTTTCTGCGGCACCCATAACAATCATATCGTGGGTTTAGGAAGCACAAACCCTAACAATCATTACATCGAGGAGATGACGGGCCATGTTGATTGTTTAAAAAAATTCTTACTGATAAAAAATGGCTAACGGAAACAAAGATACAGAATCCCAGGTATTTTATTGTTTCATTTTACACGCCCCCTACGCTGCGGGGCGTTTTTATGTCTTTTGTTCACTCGTGCGACAGACAAGGACAGTGCGTGTGAACTGCATGATTTCGTTCTACCATGCAGCCATAATGGCCGTTAGGGAGGCCCTCGGATGTTTGAACTTACCTTAGTCATGCAGATTTTTTTTACGACCCAGCGGTGTGTAAAACGTTTGTGGAGAGGCTTGCAAAGGAACAGTGTTTAGTTGTGGCACAAACCAAAATATACTGTTGGCTTAAATGCCGAAGTCAGAAAATCTACTCATAGGCATTTGGCATCTATTATATGGGAAGGGCCGCTATCGCGTGTAACACGAGGGCAGCTCGGCCTAGAAACTTTTGTCCAGTTTGTCACATTCGTGAATAGCACGACATGGCTGCCAGTCGCGCTTGAAACGTATTGAAACGAAAGCTAACATGGTATTGGTTGTCAATAAATTCTGTCGATATCGACGTACACACGCCCATTGAATGAATGCAGCGCTTACTAAATGAATGAGAAAAATTGGCCGGTACTCAAAACAGTGTCTTACAGTAGAATGACTCACATAAGCAGAATTCAGCCAATCCCGATACTGCTTATATTATTACCTAAGCTGGCCGGTCAATGAGCACACGCTGAAAAGCATTGTGAATTCAGTTTCGGCAGGAGAAAAAGCAAGCTTTGTGTAAAGCGAATCAGAATCTTTTTGAGCACTGGGTTCCTCAAGGTCTATATTGTTTTGTGTCGCATGTGCCTAAAACAGCTTCCATTCACCGCATTATAAAAATTTTTGCTTAACCCCTTACGTGCTTTGAACGAGCAGAGCTCGTCCTTCCCAAAATGTCACCAAACTGCTTTGGATGAGCAGAACTCCTCTTAGCCTAATAGGTATTCCCATCTAGCGTTCAGGCGGAGAAGCGTGCAGTCATGGCTTACATTGCGTGTCGTACTCAAAATCGCGGCATTTGCTGGAGGATTTAGTTTTTTCCTCCAGCAGGAGCACGGTTTTTGTATGGAAAGACGACGTGCAGTGGCGACGACCTAGGCAGAGCAGGCCCGTGTACACGAAAGAAAATAAGCGATTCCTAAATTTTGCCATCTTCTTCGAGTGATGATCATTCCAGTGAAGATATTAATTGTATTGTGTCCTGAAGACATCGATGACGGTGAATTCAGTTGGTCCTTCGGTAATGATGAAGACAGCTCGGACGCGAACATTCAGCGCCCGCCAGTAGAGCCGCTTTGCGTTATTCCGCGTTTAGAAAATTTTCACTTAGCCTCGAAGCTGCCCGAGCAAAATCGCCCAAAGGTGCGGTGCCTACACAAGCGAAGAAAAATGTGGCGTCTGCAACTGTTGTGTTTATAAGGTTTTATTTTATTAGGAGCAGGTAGTTAGTTTCTTATGAATTGTTCAGAAATAGACTTTATTCCGTTGGTTGGACTAAGTATGAGGTGAAAATATTTTTTCAATATTGACCAGCGACATTTCAGTACTGGTTCGAAATCATGAATAAAAAGAGGCACTTTTTGACCGGAAATTTTCAACAAAATTGACTGCCATATTCACGAAGTGAATGATGTTAGAGGAGCTTACTCGGGGATCCGCGGGGCGTTTCTCGGCGAGACAATTTCTGTGGGAAGGCTTGTCAACGAGCCGGTGCATGATGTTTACGTCGAAGGCACCATTGTCGTGCACGTTTCGCGGCCGCCACTGCACAGTGTTGGCCCCGTCAATCGGCACGTCATAAACCACCTGCCCCTTTATGCCATACTGGTCACTGCCGTGAGAGAAATGCATAGCGCTCATAGATGGCAGACGTGGAGCTATCAGGCGTTTTTTACCTGGTTGAGAGCAGGCAGGTGCGTGGGCTTGGGAGGATATCGGTACCCGTGCGTAACACTCATCGTAAGAACTTGCCAGGTGCTGCCGGGCCTACGAAGCGACGAGAAAGAAGTGGACGTAGTCGCGAGGAGGTGAACGCGCAGGCCTCCGAAAATCGACGTTTTGGGTGGTGGCGTGCCATATAGTGAGCATTGTTGGAACCACTGAAGAGGCGACTGGAGCGGTGACCCTGAGCGGTGACCCGGGAACACAGGGATTACTGGCATACACGCCTGTGGCTGCAGCACAGGGCGTGAACTGTAGGAGCAAGCTCCCTAAATGAGCGTTTAAGGGATTAATACGCTTGATCGATTAGCAGTTCATGTAGAATGCAAAGCGGTGATAAAGTTGTATGATAAACAGCCAGCCATATGAGTGAACGACATCCTTTGTCATGAAAATGCGTTCATCGAATAATTGCAATTTGCATGGATGATATTTTCGACATCTCGTTTCGATCTTCTGCGTCATGAGAATGCTGGTGTTTACCATCGAAAATTGTGTTCTTGGCAAGACAGCAGGCAACACGTATACTTGTAGCACCTGAAGGTATTAGACGACACAGGTTCCTTGATTTGTTAAATGTGTCCTTTGATTTGTTAAATGGCCGAGCTTCCATTTGCGCATGTGCTGCCAAATCTGCTGTGTTTATCTCTCTTCACTCTCTCCTCTCTATCTTTCACTTCCCCATTACGGTCCCATGCGCAGGGTAGCAAACCGGCTGCATATAGGCTGGTTAACCTCCCTGCCGTTCTTATCCTCCTATTTTCCTTCCTTCCGAGGTTCATTTGAGATACACACTCTAACTTAGTTACTTTCCAGAAGAGTCCCCACGACACTAAAAAAAAAAAACAAAATGTTGAAGATTCTGTGCCAGTATTCTTCCAGACGGACAGTTTACTATGCAAGTTGGTCTTCGATGTCAAATTTGGAGTACCATAATTAGACACAAATAAACCGAGAGGCTCTCGTTATAGTCATCACCATGCACCTGCTTGTTTTTTTCTTTGCTAATTTGACTCATCCGTACCGCTTCGGAGGTAACGTGCTTCAAGTTCAAAAGCTGGAAACCGGATAACTTGAGGTATCATTGCGCAGGCTACCATGGAGACCACTATCGGGAACGAGAACGACGACCTGTATCGGGCCATCAAGCCGGAATCCGTTCTGGCATTCATCAGAAATGTAGTGGCCAACCGACTGGCGGAAAATGGCCATGAGTGGACCGATATATTTTCGCGCTACAACAGCGGCACGTGAGTTCTGATATAGGCCATTGTTTAATAGTAGTAAATGGACGTTGATGCAGGTATATTCCTCGGAATCAACTAGCATGACACATAGTTCCAAAACTTCGAAAATCCGTATTCAATAAAGAGGTGCGTATTTTAATGCACAACTTCGCAATGAGTCTATAGAATAGACGATGGAAGGGGAAGAAATGCAAACGCGCTCAAGTACACCATGTAAGCGAACGTGAATCTGTGAGTAAATAAGTAGATATTTATGCGTCTTGTTAGACTAAGCAGTTTCACAGCTCATAATTGTAACGCTTATACCGTTGTGGTAGTTCGCGTAACGAAGATTGCGCTGGCGCCCAGTGGCGACTCAAACAAGTACAGGGGGCGTCTTGAAATGAAGAGAGAGTGGTGCAGAAGTTCTATTCAATAAAGAATACAGATTTTACAAAGTACCGGGATTAGAAAAGAAGAAGTATGAACTTGAAATGCGGATCAGTACTATCCCACACAGGTCAGTGATGCCCCCCCACCCCGTCCCCACTCCTGCCCAATCAAATATTCTTCACTGTCTCGGCCCCTGCGGAATAATAAAATTGCATGACTGAGGCCCGTTAGCAGGAAGTTACTCGGTGGCCCCTGCTTTGATATATAAATATGGACGCATTCGAAAAATGAACAGTTCCTAGCGATCACTTCGTTACAATTTCAGGAGACAAATGATTAAGCTAAACCGCATCATCCAGGTACAACAACCAGTGGATGGTGCTGGACTACAATAAGTTCACTCCTGGAGAGGACTTGCAGGATGGCCTCCTCCACGTGCTGGAACAGCTGCCGTGAGTATTAGGAATTCGTGCGACGAAGTTTTTTCACCACGATTTGGCACTCAAGGATTTCTGATGCCCCACCGTTTTACGAGAGCACGTAGCCAAATTTCTCTGGCACTATGAGACAGCCAGGGGGCTTGATTTTTCCAATAAATTATGAGAGCGAGTTTTAAAGGTAACCTCCCACTAGCATTTCTAGCGTGTACACTTGAAATAAGATCAGAATACATGCATCAATTTTATCCCCAAAAGAAACATAAAGGAAAGAAGAAAAAACAATAAAAATGAAGGCGGTCAACTACTGCACTGTTAAATATAAAGTGATCACATGTTGAAATTTAGAGTTGGGCAATTGAAATATAAAGGGCATGAATTTACTGCTTGATTTTCGTTCTAGTTTAGCACTAGCGAGTGATATCTCATCTGTTCAGGGAATAACAGTTATGAAGAGACGGTCGGAACCCACCAGGGTCATAAAGTCCGACGTCCTATGCATACGAAATGCTCCAAATCATAGAAATGACAAAATACATATGTGTTTAATTGCAAACAAGATGTTCGCGCGTGGGTTCTGTATGGACTGTGGCGAGAGGGATGGAATATAACACAGTAGTCCACAGTACCTGTCTGATATTCATTTCAATTTATTTTGACAAGCAAGCGAATAATAATAATAATAATAATAATAATAATAATAATAATAATAATAATAATAATAATAATAATAATAATAATAATAATAATAATAATAATAATAATAATAATAATAATAATAATAATAATAATAATAATATGTGTGATTTTACATCCCAAAACTACGATAGTATTATGAGAGACGCTGTATTGAAGGGCTCTGGAAATTTTGACCATTTGGTGTTGTTTAATGTGTCTTAACATCACACTGCAAATGGGCCTCAACCCTTTTGCCTACACCAAAATTTGACTGCCACTGCCGGGATCAAACCCGCCACCTTCGGGTCAGCAGCAGAGAATACCATAAAACTAATTAACCGCGGTGGACGGCCAACAGACGTGTAGAGCGATGCTGCTGCAGACTGATACTGAGATAAAATTGAGATGACTACGCGCAATTCTCAGAAATCTCATGTATGTTATTAACGTGGTTTTTTAAATGTCATATTCTTAAATAGTAATTACATGTATTTGTGTACATTTGGCTGGTGTTGGTACAGGTCGTACTCTATGTTCGCAAATTTTCGTGCGCAAATTACGTGCGCATATTACGGGGTGTTCATACCACCTTAATGAAAACCAGCTGATATAACTTCTGGTATAGTACTTATTGAATATCAGACAGGTCAAAAACTAACTAACTAACTAACTAACTAACTAACTAACTAACTAACTAACTAACTAACTAACTAACTAACTAACTAACTAACTAACTAACTAACTAACTAACTAACTAACTAACTAACTAACTAACTAACTAACTAACTAACTAACTAACTAACTAACCAATAAAGATTGAATAGTAATTATTGTTTAAATTAACTGCTAACAAACCAATTTGTTGGCCCTCTTAAGTATCCGCACATAGCATAGGTTATTTCATATCCTCCTCCGTGGTGAAGTTGTTAGTTTTATCGACTGCTGAACCAAATATCCCAGAATCGAATCCTGGCGTGGCGGCTGCAATTTCTGTAGAGGCCAGTATGCTTGAAGACCATGTACATAGATTTAGGTGCACGTTAACAAAATCACCACCCATGCACTCCGTACAAATGGTTAACCAGCGAAAGCTGAAACGTGTGGCCCCGGTGTTTAGCAGTGGATTCAACACGACGCGGCACTGAAGCCTTTCACGATTATCGGTTACACGTTCGTGCTTCCTAATGAGGTTAGACAGATGTTTCGCTTGGGTTTACCACAGTGTTCATTTCACATGCCCCGCATAGTGTCTTGCATCATCATGGTCGTAGAGGAGGGTAGTGAGCGGTTCAATGTGTCTTAATCACAGTGGCTGTTCTGGAACCAGAGGTGGTCGCAGACGTCCCAGCCGAAGCCGATGTGCCGCTCACGAAACTTTCGCTGACAGTGGGCGTTCGCCCCGTCGAACGCGCTCGCGCAGTCATCACATTAACGCCGCAGTGCGGCGTTGTTGCAGGCGTTCGACATGACGAGCTAACTAGGCTGCGTGGGTTGCAGGAACACCGGCCACCGGTGCTAGCATTACCGTTCGCGATTCAGTGTGGCTTGAAAGGCTGCCGGATTATCAGTACGCAGTTCCTGCCTGCACTCAGCCTCTCGGTACTGTTTTTAGGGGTGAAGCTCCTTAAGGCGTGAGTCGTGCGTCTGCAATGTATGTATGTAGTAGTAGTAGTAGTAGTAGTAGTAGTAGTAGTAGTAGTAGTAGTAGTAGTAGTAGTAGTAGTAGTAGTAGTAGTAGTAGTAGGTAGCCACCTCCGTGGTTGGACTAGAGAAGCGACATACACACACTCTTTTGATTTGAGATGGAAACCTGCGCACGTTAATCATAAATAAAAAAGATAGTTGTTTCTGATGAAATAACCTACAGAGACGAGTATCGGTGACTTACCCCCGTATTATAGAGCCTCCCTTCACTCAACGCTTCGACTTCACTTGAGAAAGCCGACGGGAGCGCCATCTCTAGGTACGGCAAGTCACGGCATATCAACGATAGTCTACTGGGATTCTTGAGTAGCGCAGCGACATTTTCAGCCGAGTGGTGGCGCAGTGCTCAACTCTGTCAAGTGGAGGGTGAAAATGGAGTCGAGAAGCGTTTGTGAATACGGGGGTAAATCTCAATAAAAAAAAACATTGCCTTGAATTTGATGCTTACTAAAATACTAGTAACAAAAGGACGCACTTTGAGCACTATCTGACTAGAAAAGGTTGCCACAATAAACTCGCTGGGCGTAACCTCCTTGGTTTTAGAAGATTTAGCGAGGTTGGGCCGCAGTGCCATGAACTAGCGGCGGTGAAAGGTGGGAACTAGACAGGAAGCGCAGGCCGTAAGACAGTGCGCACGTGCCACTCCTCTAGTACGGTCGTGCCACCTCTGGTTTAGTCCTTGGAATGTCCGATGGGTGGCGGTACTTCTATATGATGAATATACGACGAAAAGATGTGAGATGGCGGTACTTGGAGTGTTCACTATAGATGGATGGACAGGCGCACGGATGGACAGATGGACGCACAGATGAATGTACGGACGGGCGCATGGCCGGATGCAGGGACGAACGCACGGATAGACGGATGCTTCGCCCCACTCAGCATAATGCCCTCCTTGGATATGCTGCAATTTTTTGTGCCCAGACTGCACCATCGGCCCGGCGAATGCTTGCTCTCTCACGTTTCCATGGTCGCCGTTCTCCTGGAGTTGTCCGTGGCTTAACCATGTAGAAAGTTTCAGGAGAAACTGATGGGCGCGTGTTCAGTGCCACGGTTAGCGGGATAGACGATGTCACTAAGAACGCAGCCAATGACGCTAGTGCTTGGGTACGAGGCTGCTACCGACGTTACTGATAACACACCCAACGTAGACAGCTCGTGATACCGCTTGCGGATGGTTTTACGTTTCCCCTAGCCATATACAGCTTTCGCTATAAAAACCTTAGGTGGTCGAAATTCGCGGAGTTCCTCACTACAATGTATCCTAATCATATCGTAATTTTTGGAACTAAAACCACAAACCTATACTTAGGCTACGTCATGCCTGAGCGTTTCTTTTTTCGAGATTTGCACTACTGCTCTGGCAACGAATCATTGAACATCCTGCACCTACCTATACCTATAAAGAGCTGTGAGCCTGGGGGCACTGCTGAAACATTTGAAACTTCTAAGCCTGTCTGATGACCAAGTCTCTGTTCTTTCAGTGGACCTGTACTGGCGTTCAGTTATTTTCAATCCGTATTTCTCTATTCCTCACATCCTCTTGAGAAATGATGACTAGAATAATTACGATTGTGTGACCGTAAACAGTGTTCCTGCGTGCGAATTCCTTCTAGAGTATGTTATTTTATATTGTTTGTAGATACATATTTCTCTCCACGTTCTCTCCTCCCATTTCTCACATGTCTCGCCAGTGAATACATCAACGTGACGGATGCCACAGACACTCTGCGTGACGAGACATATTGGGCGAGCTACAATGTGCCGTGAGTTTTCACCCATATATTTGCATGCATCAAACAGTGGGTAATCACTGTCTAAAGACTTCAAGTAACAGGCAATAGTTGGGTCTTTCCTCCCCGTCTTTCACCTTGCTTCCTCCTTCCCCTGCACAAGGTAGCAATTGATTTATTAATTTATTTGTTTACAGCAAATAGTTGTGTGCGACCAGGGGGAAAAAGCTGATACAACTAGCTTGAGGATGTCCTTGCCACCATACACGTGTTACAGTGTGAAAGGTGGTAACGAAAAACAAAACAGAAAAATAATGCACACATAACGTATTGCACATGAATATCCGTCATGTAAACAAAGTAACGTGCTTTTATAGACATAATAAAGAAGCATAATTCTAGCTACGTCCAGTTAACTGCCATGTCTTTATTATATCTCTCGGTATTTTTCGAGCGCACTATTCATGGTAGCTAAATAAAAGCATAGTTGCGTAAATAGATGAAAGTATAGGCGTACCCCGAGAGGTGAACATAAGTTTGCCGTTCTACACTACTTACCGTTTGCCTACAGGGTGGCAACAAATAAAAAAAAATGAAAGAGTAGCTCGGTCACGCACGAAATTTATTTTGTGTTTAGGGTTCATTCGGACTCTAAATCACGAATATTGTCTTCGACCGGACTCACTCCAACTCCGACTCGCTATAAATCTTTTCAAACAGACTCATTCATACTCGAATTCATAAAAAGAAAACCCCTGGGCCGACTGAGAATCCGTTTCATGAAACCATCTGAGTTTGTCGGGGCGAGTCGATACATGAATGGGTTTGGTGAGCTATGGCGTCACATGTCTCATAGCTATATCGCAGATGTGGACTCGCATTCACAAAAGTATCTCATGCTAAAAAATTGCGTTAAAGAACATTTCAGCGAATCATAATATAGTTCAAAATATTAGTCAAGGAGCTTACAAATGAGGAAAACGTGTTAACGAAACTGTAGTTCTGTGAATTCTACTTCTTTTTGGAAACGTAGGAATTAGTTTTTCGTTTAAGCTTCACTATTTTGATAATCGAAATGACGTGGAAAGATGTGTGGCCTAGTGATAATTCGAAAAAAGTTCACTGTCAGCTTCCTGCGAATATAGCGAATCAATAGGTGTCCGAAGAGCTTCGGCTTTAACTGAGGCGACAATCTTTTCCCTTCCCCCAACAAGCTCGGCGATATTCTAACACACACCACCTATTGATAACCCTAGTTCACCTCACCGTATCCCTGTTTAGGCGTTACTTATGCTACTCGCGAGTTACCAGTGCGTACGACACGGGAAAACTCAGAAAGATGTGTGCGCTAAGAACGTTGCCTCGATTGAACCGACGTCATGCGTATTGCACCACTCAGACAGTGCAGTAGCGCAGGAAGGAGACGCCGTCATATCTAAACTTTGATAAAAAGATACAAGGCACACGGAAACTGCAGGCCGCGGGTACTTAAAGAACGACCGGAAGGGCCAGTTTTTTTCTGGGCTGGTTGTGCTCTTCGATACGAAGGGCAAAGCCGTTCGGCAAATCGTTCGTGGTTCATCGAGCTAAACAACTATCATAACCATAAACGGATGCGTACCTCAGAAATTGGGTACTTTGGCTCGACACTGCTTTCATATAAAAGAAGGAGACAGCAGCTAGCCTAATAACAAATAGCCGCGAAGCGATGGCGGTAAGCCGAAGTACCCGAGTACTTACAGCGAAGCCAGCACAACGGAAAAGGCATCGGCGGCTACGAGCAGATAACGAAACTATGAAAGGCGTACGTCAACGACGACGTGCTCGTAGACTGACGGGAGTTGCGAACGCTCCGCTTCAGCGCAAGTGCCTGTCTCCGGAGTTCGGACATGCGTGTCGCGTCTGTGAGCGTCTCGAACCTATCTGCGCTGAGTCAACGTGGAAACAACCAGCTAAGACCTAGAAACAGCTAGTTAACATCCCTACGTTTATTATATCTCTTCTCTCTTTCTCTGGAAGTGATAAAGTTAGTCTTCAGAATTTTTTAGTTGTGCTGTTTAAATTAAAGCCCTGCGCTGCACACTGCGAGTTTCACCTTTTTTTTTAAAACTGGGTGCAATAGAGACGAGGGGCCGAAGTCACAACACTTCTCCTTTTCAAATATATTTTGGAATTGGCCATTCGACTTCACTAATGGTATGTTCCACATCGTGGTTGCTTGAAACTTGCTTTAGCGACAACATTTACAGCCTAATAAGTATTTTTCGAAAATTCTCGTAAGAGCATGTTTCAAGCACAAGATTAAGTCTTTTTGGACCAGTGACTTTGTCACCCCTGTTAATCCGTGCCGCGAGTGTTATCAGGCTGTGCCTCTCTGCGTGAACGTGGATTGCACAAGACGCCTCTCAAGGAGAGGAGAGCGGACAGGAGTTAACCAGGGAGACCTGTGTAGATATTGAACAGGGTGCGCCATTCACGTTACGTAAATCCTGTTTTGATTGTACAACGTGGGTATGGTTCTGACGGGAGGTTTTGTCCAGCACCGCTATCTTATTGTGTTCATTTGTAGAGCTTCGATGCCTTTTGGATGTTAAAAAAAAGTTTTTAGGGGTGACGATCCTTAGGGGGGGGGGTCTGTCCTTCCTCCGTCGGTATATGTAGACACCTTGCAAACATCCCACTACGCCCCATCACCGATTCACCACATCAGCGACTATAAAGCCAACGCTGTCGAGAAGTAGCCAATATGAAATGCAAGATGGTCGTGTACTTGTATCCAGGCGCGCGTGAAAGAACCATAGATTTTGCCACTGTGTCGATTCCTTGTTTCTGCGTGACCACTTATAGTTCCACCTTTCCATCTTTGCAAAGTGCTCACTACTTCGTCCTCGCAAACGTTTTGCTAAGCCCCATCACCATTCCATCACTTTACCAACCATAAAGCCGTTATAATAATGGAGGAACGGAAGCGACGTATAGCAACCACTAACTAATAATAAAATTTCTTGTATACATATATAAAGTAATTGTCACGTCTTTGATGATGTAGTGGGCGAAATTCGCAGATGGTTCACATTTTAGTGATGAAACCCTCCAGCGCTTTGCCCCAGTCATCATCATTCAATCAGTGGATATGCTGTGATTTTTTTCTAGAATACGGGCCATGGTACTTAGCCCACGTTGAGTGTCTTTTTTTTTTTTGAACGTGTCGTACGCGTTGTCGATTTACAGCGCTATCATGTCATTACCATTCATCACAACGTCCTTTCCCTTTGGAACGCCTTACGTTTCGTATTTTTTGAAAGCCACTTTTTGTCCCAGCTTCGCAGAGAACAATGTCATCTGATGAAACAGCGTATCTGTGACACCAGAAGGAGCTAGCACGTGTGGAGGACGGAAGATTTAGGGCGCGCAACAGGTGCGCCGAAAACGTGGCGTGTATGGACAAGTATAACAAAAGGAAGAGACTTTATGACAAAGGGGCCATGCACAATAGTGTTGATTTCCTTGAGGCTTCCGGCAACGTCGCCTTTTTTGACTGTAGATCGGGTAGCTTTTCCTTAAGCCTTTATGACACAATAGTTGAAAAAGCTTGCAAAACTGTTTTGTGGCTTTAATTAGGCGAATATTGCGTTTCATCTGTTTAGACTCTATCGAAACACGGCTAATGCAAGTCTCGGTGTTCGCCTGTTGCCAGTTAAAAAATGCTAAACAATACACGAAGCAGAATGACGGAAGTAAAGCTTTTGAATAAGCATGGCGAATCCTTTTCGTTTCCGCCACAGTTTTCAATTCTGCTACCATCGGTGTGTTTTCGAATGTTCTATCGTGGGCATTCTATAACATTACCTCATTAGTTTTTGACAGAAGTGGGATAAATTGAAGGAAGATGTACTATACATCCAGTGACTACAGCTGGTTTTAATATTACCCTGTCTTTCTTGCCAGTGCATAAACTTATTTCTTGATTACAGCGTGTTTGCCTTCGAGTTATTTATCGCTATGATGATCATTCGTGTAACCGAAGGATAGCGCTGAATTCTCTTTTTAGTCCATGCCGACGTTCCCAATTTTCCTAGAAAGCCTATAGTGTCAACGTTGGACATCTTTTGCTTTTATGGACAACGCAAATTGAGCTGTCATGATTGACGATCTCACGTAGAAAAGGCTTAACTTACCTGACACCCTAGGTTTAAATATTTTGTGGTTAACATAATGACTTCGTAGTATAAAACCGTCCACCTATTACAAAAGGCACACACGTTAATGGCCATACTCCTTTTAGACCGTGCCCGTAGTGGGTGTATAGCAACTTCAGAAAGCTTTCACGCACACAATTGCTCATAGTTTAAAGCATGCTACCCCTTAGACAGAATGCAGCCATATGCGAAAGCTTCACTGATGCAAGCCACTTTCAATTTTATCGATTACATTGTAGTAATGCACGATTGAAACTTCGTGATGTGAAATTGTACAATAAAAAGCATGCAGCAAGTGGTTGGAGTAAGCACTAGAGACAGGATATTGCTGTCGCTTTCAACTCTTAAAAACGAAGCTTAAGGATCTCTTAATTATTTATCAGGTTCATTTTCACCTTTCATATTTATTTGTTTAATCTTTCACAATCATTTTTTTCCATTCTCTGGCATATTTAAGACCATTTACGCCACAAATACAGAGTAGCATTACTGTGGTGCAGAGGGCACCAGCTACAATCTCTCTTCTTCTAATAGAATGTTTCTCTCTATCTCACTGCTTTTGTTACTATTAGCTACAAACGGGCCTGCGGTCAAGTAATTTTCAATGTTCTTATGTCTGTGCTATAGGTACATTTTGCTGTAAGCCGCATTTATAAAACAATTCGGCTTTACGCAGCGCCTTCGAATTCATATTCAACGTCAGCGGATGGTGGAGGCTGGTGGAGAAGTACGGCGACTGGTTCACCTATGACAGAACACCACGGGCTCTCATGTTCATGCGCGATCATCACAAGGTTGTAGACATGGACTCCATGATGAATCTGATGAGGTAAGCAGCCCCACCACAAAAGCACGAATGGTAACAGCACAACTACATAGTGTGAGCTTTTTAACAGCGGAGCTGTAAAACACTTGGTTGGTGTGTCGCACCCGTCTTTGTTCGTCCACAAATAGGGACGAAAGAAAACCAACAAAAACAAACAAACAAACAAACAAACAAGAACTCATAGCCTCCTCCCAGGAACTGATGACTTCACGTAATGACACAATTGTGTGTCCCTCTCACCTCCCGTGATGATAGTTGGATGTCGGGCGAGAGGAAAAGAAAAAAATAAATAAAAATCGGCTATGTAACTGCGTGATTCCCTGCAAACGTCGTTGAAAGATGATAGTCTTTTGCCGGGCGTAGTACACGAGTCCTGGGGCATGCCTTGTAGAGAGGGTTGTATTTCACCGTTGCATTTCACCAAGTGGTTATTTATGTTTTGGTTTCTCTCAGACAGTGCCTCCTTTATGTTGAATCGGCCGCAGCTGGCTGGCATTGATAAAATAGAGGAGGCGCTGCGTGAGAACGGAGGTCACCTGGCAGTGTTGGGGGAAACGTGAGCTTGTGCAGAACCCATGGCCACTGCCAGGTGGCAGCACCATATCGCCGGTAAAGGAATTTTTCGTTCATAGCGTCACATTTCCAGCGCGGCGTAAAAAAACAAAAAAAACTACGGTCTTGAGAATTACGCATATATATGATCAACGCACCACCTAATACGTATTGATGTTGCGCCGCATATATGCGGAATATTTGCTTTTTGATGGATAATATTCACAAGTATGAACACAGCCCTCAGTTCAAAATGGCTGGGCTTTCAGCAAGCACTTAAACTTTGGTTGAGTGACTGGATCATGCAACAGAGAGACAGACAGACATACCAAAACGTCTGCATTCAAGTATCCCAAGAAAAACTATCGTCTTTAAAAAATCCACGCATCTCCACGAAATGAGTCGTGACGAGCGTGTGAAGCTCTGAATATAGTATCAGTTAGTAACCGTATGTTTCACGAGAGTCACCTCATATATCGTGAATTGATTGAGGTGTATATAGACATTTACATTTATTTAGCCATCCTAGGTAATTGAAGGAGGACTTGGAAAACCGCTGGAGTGAAGGTGTTGCCTCGTAAGTGAATCCAAGAACCCACCATCTTGCCAATCGCAAGATACCATTCTAATAGGAGTAATCAGTTAGGACATAAAACACTTGTCGTGTGTCTTTGTGTTACAGGTCCTCTTAAGAAGCCACAACATCTAGGCTTATTTTAGTAGAGATCAGCTCGTCAATGCTTCTCTCGATAGGATATTTTCGCAGGAAACAGTGATCTATTTTTGTAGTTAGCCTATGTCTCTGTGTAAGTATAGATGTATTCTAACTCTATGTCTACGTAAACCGTTTTCTTTTGTGTTTCACATATGTTTTGACTGTAGCAACGGTTCTATACCATGGTCAAAACGAAAGACAAGGCTAGATCTTACAGAGCTTCGCCCCTAAAATGGAAAAGATGTGAACCTAGAAATAGCCGTGTTGCCAGATAGGCACATTATATTGCGTTGCTTGGGAATTTCATGGGACATAGAATTTATGACATTCATGAAATGACAGGATCAATCAATATGCAAACGCGCGTAAGCTGAAGGCTTAGACCATGCAAATGCCAACCTACATTGTTTTTGTGCTTCTCCAGGTACAATGACTACAAGAATGACCCATTGTCGCGCTGCAACTGCACACCGCCGTACAGCGCCGAGAACGCCATCTCTGCACGTAGCGACTTGAATCCGGCCGACGGCGTCTACCCGTTCCCGTCTCTGGGACACAGGCCGCATGGTGGAACCGATATGAAGGTGCACCACATTCTTTTGCTTCGATCTTGATGTTTTTAACGTGTTTATTGCAGTTAACCAGCCTGACAAAACGCTTATTTTTGTGGCGATTCGCCACTTCTGATTTGTGAATGGCGCCACATTCTGAGTCGCTATATAAATGGTACAGTCTAAAAAAATATTCAACACCTTTGACCTCGCGCATAATGTTTGACGAGAGAAAGGGAGATAGAAAAAAATTGTTAATTCTAATCATTCCCTATTAACTGTTTTGAATACCTGTGAGCGGAGTGTTCTCTAGATGGTCCTGCTGGTATTATCGTTACTGGAATGCATTGATGACAACGATGGCGTTGATAACAGCTAAAAAAAAACTTCTCTTTCGTTTGCACTAAGTCAGCATAGTTGAGATACGAGACCAACTAGCCCTGCAATCTGTCCTACGAAACAATTCAAGATACAGCACACAATACGTACTTAGAAATATATTTATCTCTCATTTAGTGGAGACCTTGCACTTGGTTTCTCACTCAACAGAAATGCACGCCTTTTGTGCTGCACAAATTAAACCAGCAGACAGTTCAGCCACACGAATGTAGGGTACATTATTTTTGCTCCCTTTAATTGTAGCGTAGTAATTGCGACACAAAGTGCAGTTAGTTATAATTGATAGAAATCCACAACTTGTGCATGGGAAGTCCGAACCCGAACGCGTCCGAAGTTGTACCAATAAAGCTACGCCGGAAGACACTCCCTGGCCCAAGTTATTCGGCATTTCTGCGCGATCAGTCCTGGGAAGTGTTAGCCAGAGTCACTGGTAATCTATGGGACGAGTGAGGAAACACTCTTTCTTCAACGTGCAAATAGAAGGTTGTATGTGATGCCAAGGCGATGAACTGGGCTATAGCTGGTACATGTTGATACACATAAAATGTCAGCGGGAAACACATAAACAGTGGAGGAGCACGACGATAAAGGCTGGCACTAACAATTGATCAAAGCAAGCTTGAAACGAAAACATATTACCACAGGCAGCCACCTTGCGCATGCGTGAAATAGCCATGTGCCATATAAAACACAATATTGACGAGATATCACGGCGTTTCGAAAGGTCCCCTCCATAGCCAACAAGTACCCTGACGTGTCACTGACGCAATTGTTTTCTCCTTTCTTAAGGCAGAAGGCTTCCGAAGTTCCTCTTTCGTTCTTGATCTTTCGCCGACCTAAGATTGTACAAATTGCGTCAGTGACATGTTAGTGCACCTGTCGGCTAAGGAGATTACCTTCACTGACGCCGTAATATCTCGGTAATATTGTGTTTTATATGACGCATGGCTACTTCAACCACGCGCATGGTGGTGCCCGGCAGTAATATGCTTTCGTTTCAAGAATGATTTTATCAGTTGTTAGTGCTGGCCTGTACCATCATGCTCTTACTCCTTTGTCTTGTTTCCCGCCTGATTTTCAGGTATATCGTAGGTTGATTGTTCGGGCCCCGTCGATGGAAGGGGGTAGCGGGCGGCATGCTTTGCGTTCGCGTTGAGAGAAGAAGAGGCCAATAAGCTCGAACCTAGAAGTCGTGACATCTGTTTGAGCCACCCGGCTAATAAATGTTTGTTCGTTTTGGCCTTTTGTTAAAATAACTACTTACCATAATTCTCAGCCAACATGATTTTATCAGTGTAAAACTGTGCATTTGAAGTAAGATTGACTTCAAACAACAAAAAAGAGCTCATCAAAAGAAGGCTGCTTTGTTGTGCAGCATCACTGAAGTATGGCAAGCACAATATTAGCAAAACTTGCTAGCTTGAAAAGCTTCCGAGTCTCCCCGTGTGAACAGGTCATGGTGCTTAAAGAGTAAAGTGGTGTTCGGAAAACCATACATGGTACACTGAGATACAAATGTCAAGGTGAATCGTAATTTTAAAGACAGTTCTAACGCAGCCGTTTATCAACATAGTCCTCCGTTTGTACAATATGGAGAAGTCCCAAAATAATGTTATGCGACAAACTTATTTGCCTTATTTTTTCTATTGTCTACTGGTATCATTCAGCTGAGTATAGCTGAGTATTCAAGTGGCATCGTCATGACCATTTTTCTATAAAATTTGCAGCTTTACTGTTCTGTAGATAAGCAGATCAAGATAAGAAAGTGAGCCTTTCACTGTTTTTGTGCAACAAAATGGCGGCGAAAACAGTGGAGCTCCCTAAAACTCACTCACAAAATATATTTTGCTCTCGGGACTCACTCGGACTCGCACTCACGAAAGTTTTGTTCAACTGTACTAAACCGGACTCAATCTTGTTAAAATTTAACACACCCTGACTCACTCAGACTGACGGGTCGACCTCAGTCTGAGTGAGATCTAGTGAGTCGATTCATGAGTGAGGTAATTGTCTTATATGCTTAAATGCATACTCCTTGTAACACACACGAGTAAATCAAAGCGATTGCTCTTTATTTATGGCTGGCATGCATTTTACTTTATGCCATACTTTTGTCTCGGCTTTCATCTTCAGCTCACAAACTCGTTGTTGTTCGAGAAGCTCGAGTTCGTCTCTGTGAGCGGACCGACCTGGACGCAGCAGCCCCCATTCCGCTGGAGCACATCTGGGTTCAAGGACCACCACGAGGGACACCCCGACCTCTGGAAGTTCGAGCCATTCATTCACCACTGGCTCCTGGAGCCGCATGAAGGGCTCAGATATGAGATTGAACAAACTGGCAACACAGTAATGGCCGAAGAAATTATTTTTTTCCTTTAAGTGCCACGAGACGCTGTGACTAGCAGTCAGCACTGCAAGTGGGCTGTAGCGAAAGCTACTTGCGACTTAAGGTGAATTATAATGTAGTGCCTTTTCTGTATAATCAACGTGACTGACCATGGAGTAGAAAAAACAACATAATCGTCATAGGTTGCTTCTTACAGAACGTTGTGCCTAAACTAAGACGTTGTGTCTGGCTGGCCTTACGGATACTAAGTAGCAGCTTTTTGTTTTCAATAGTGTAAACATTGTGAAAACAAGTTAGGCTGCTGTGGCGCTTGCTTTGAATTGTTATGTAAATATTTTATCTACAAGTGGTTCACTTATTGAGAGTGGCGCTGTAATCTCATGGTATTACGAGGAGCAAGAACAGTAATTTTATGTAGACTTGACTTTGCATCCATACCACTTAATTTTCAGTGTATCACACTTGTTTATCAGACTCGATATACTTGCTCAATATCGAGCAATCAGATATAGCGCGAATATGCTAACGTTGCGTTGGTCGCACGCAACGCAGCACTCGGATCTCTTCCAAAGCTTGCTAAATTGGGGCTACACGCAAATACCTAACTGTAGACAGTGCTCAGGTATTTACGGTATAGATTCAGGACTTGCCATATTATTGTTCGAAAGGAGTGTTAAACAAGCACACGCATAATGTTAGGTGGTAGTGCGGCTTTTGAGTTCTTTGTTTTTCAACTTTCTGTCTTCATAAGCATTTCATTTATTTTCTTGCAGTGAGGCTTGCCTTATATAATCTTGGTAGCAGTGGCTACACATTCCTCGCTGGCGAATGGAATTCATGTCAGCCATTCAATCACTATTTGGTATTTTCATGCGTCCAGCAGTGGAAATAAAATAAATAGCTCATGATGACTGTCTTTTGTCTTGGTGGGAGCTGTAATTCAAATATTTGTGGTATTATTACAATGCAACATATTGATGACAAACAAATAACTACAGAAAAGAATAGCACAGGGTGCTCTCAATTGTTTCTTAAACAGTAATTTCTGAAGCGAATGTACGAAACACGCTGTTTCAGGCGTCTGCTATAAACTGCACGCAAATATTTGGAAGAAATGTATTGAAATGAGATTGAAAATTATTGCCGGCTTCTTCAACTTGATTACATTCAACCTTGTAGTATAGTTTGTGGTAATCAGGGAACTAGTGCTGCTGCTAGTCCTATGCCAGAACGAGAAACCGCCAGGCCTGCGCAGAACACGCAGCACAGTCACAGCGAAAGCTGGAACAGCGGCCTTTCAGAGCCTTTTCTAAACACGCTTTGAGTAACTGCTACAACCACACTTGCTGGGTACTCACTATGCCATAAATAATCACAATTTTTGGGTAGTATGCTGGCATTCCTTACGATATTCTTCGTCAAGGTTGAGAGAAGCGTGGTATCCGCTAAACACTTGCTATGGTAATTTCTGGCAATTTTTTTCATGCAGGAGATCATAACGATGCAGAATTATGCCTGATGTGGGTATGCGCCGCAGTTAATAGATGATCAAGGACAAGCTTTTGTAATGAGTTGGAGCATTTGACAATTCACTCGTTACACAATTCGCATTGTGTGACGCCTGGTTGTTGCTTTGCTCTTCTAAAACGCTTCATTACTCATATTAACGCGATTTCTTTCCCTGCATCAAGCCTGCCCAAGACAAATTTAGAAACGAGTTCCAAGCAATGGCGCGGCTCAGTGGTAGATTACTGGGCAGGCACGCAGCAAACCCGGATTGTAATCCCATTGCGTCCTAGGTGTTTTCTATTTCTAGAGCTTCTTTCTTATTTATTGCGACGTCGGTTGCGGACACCAGCGGTGGCGCCGTACCTGACCTATGTTGCGATTTCATAACAGCCTTCGCTTTAAAATACTGTCTACTAATGGACAATACAAAACTTCCAAGTCACATTTACAGTACCTGGACCACAAGAGAGTACGGTATCTTTCCAACAAGCATTGCTCGCTGTAGTCCCAATGCATGCATTTTCGTTCTACGCACTAAATTGTGCAGTGGACTTCGGAATTTTCTGTGCAGTTGAAGCTCCCGGCCAATGTCCAACAACGTTTACTCCCTAAAATGGTCCCTAATTAAGTTGGTCAACAACATTTAAAAATCAAGTAGCGCAGCTGGTCGTAAATAGCACTGGGGCACATAACGCAATCATTGTTCACTTTGGCCCCACAAAAATGATGCGTGCACGTGCATCAGTACCCATGTGGAACAATAGGTTACATCAGAAAAAAAGTGGGTCAGCTCATAATAGTGTAGGTAAAAGCGGCGCTGCTAAGTTAAGAACACGAAAAAAAATCTCTCCTCAACCTTGCACCAATGTCCTTGCCTACAGTGTTCCAACTAGCCCCCACACAAGCTTTACTACCTCACGATAGGCCGCCTCGCAAAAAGTATGCCTGAGGCCAGTTACTTGTGTGAAGCACGCCCGAAAAAAATGTTAATACTCACAATAGGCGATAAAACAATGCCAGTAAAATTGAGTAAACTTTCGAAAATTTCGGCACAAAGCATGTTCGGTGAAGACAGTCATCCGTGGGTGTGTGCCGCTACCATAGGACTCATGTGCTGCCCGCGTCCCCAAATGAATAATACTCCTGCGCTAGACGCATACGCTTGAAAACGGTCGGGTTGGTGCATTCGACGTCCTGTGATCTCAATCATGTCATTTCACGGCATCAAAAACAACAACAATAACCACACATATTTAAATTTTTGGAAGTGTAATCGTTTCTATGGGAGCCGGAAATGGGGAAAGCCATTGCATGTTCAAAGAACGTTCAACGTTATGTAGACGACGCTTCTGAAAGCTAGGACCATACAAGATGACTGCGTGCCAGAAAAAACAACAACAATTCTATGAGTTCTTCATTAAGATCACATGCATGGTTCATTTGTTCTGGCAGAGCTTATACAAGTATAATGTTAGAGCAGCTGTGGGCATGGATCACTTAGTTATTGTCCACTCCGAATGAATTACCAGCCATATGGTGCGCGAGAAAGCTTACTTTGTGGCAATTAATGTTTGCTAATACCCTCTCCTTCGCGATCGAAACACAACTTTTGTTACTGCCCACAGCTGCTATATACCAGCATAGTCACTGGTTAAGTATATTAACAAAATCTGTTCTCCATTAGCCAAAGAAAGATGATTGGTTTGTGACGCAAACGGTCATCAATGATTCTTCCCGTCCGTTTCGCGTTTATTTGCTTGCCCTAAATTTTAGTTACTTATGCCAATCTATAAGTCACAATCACCACAAGAGAATGTACAGGTGTGCACACACGCCTTCAATATCTCTGTGTGCCTGACACCAACGTCTGAGCACAAAAGGGATAGATGCAGTTATCGCGGCAGCTTCCGTGACCGTGGGACGTGTGCCAGGCCTTGCACGACACGACAACGTAGGTCAATAACCTTTAGACTGGTGTTCTGTAACGTTTTGTGAAAAGAAAGCTGAAAAAGCTTTAAAATTCAAGAAAACTTTGTGGTTAGCAAGGACCGACATTATTGTTGACAATGTATACATGTATTTTTTTCTGCAGCGAACGCAGCAGCCTAAGAATACGCCAAAGAAGTTTTTTTTTTGGTGTGCCCACGCGAACGCGCCCAAAGTAGGTGCGTGGAAACTTACGTCATCATCGGTTCTTTTCGCGCAGCAGGGCTACAATACGGCGGATGGTTCCCACCGCGAACTGATCCTAACTGCAACGAAACTGTTTATGCGACGAAGGCTCACGTAATTGATTGATTTATTGATTGATATGTCGGGTTTAATGTTCCATAACCACTGTATGATTATGAGAGACGCCGTAGTGAAGGGTTCCGGAAATTTCGACCACCTGGGGTTCTTTAACGTGCACCCATCTCTGAGCACACGGGCATACAACATTTTCGTCTCCATCGAAAATGCAGCCGCTGCAGCCGGGATTTGATCCCGCGACCTGAGGATCAGCAGCCGAGTACCTTTGCCACTAGACCACCGTGGTGGGGCGAAAATAAATGAAGGTTCACGTAAGTATATCGACTATATGAGTATAAGCCAACTAGATGATTATATCTGAAATAATGACAAACAGCCCAGTTCTACGGGAACAAACTTCTCTCGTACTTCAACCGTGGCCTCCGTTAATAATTCGCGACGTCTCGCCGTAGGAGTTATCTGAGGAGACCACACTTCAGCAGCGCTGCTGTTGTAGATAACGCGACACATCGAGGATGACGTCCCCAAGTTCGCCCGGCCTCTCAAAAAGCCCTGCGGCTTAGTCATAGCTTTTTCGCCAAAAAGTGTTACTTCTGTCCACTTTTAAGAACTGTCACATCGTTTTTCGAAATAGCAGGGTTCGCTTTAAGAATTAGCAGGGTTCAATCTGTCCTTGCACTCGAGAGAGTAATTTTTCTTGAAAATGCGCTTCAGCTTTCCTTTACGGGAAGGGGACAAGGGGCATCACCTAGTAGACATTGTTCGAATTCTTTGTGCCGTTGCACAACGCTTTAGTCATTGTGACCTTTCAACAGCTCCCAATTCCGAACTACATTCAAGGAGGCACTAATATGGACTTCCGGTAGATTAAGCTTCTGTGTTTGTTTTATATCACACGGCCGTCAGTGCCGAAACCACCATGGGGATTGATTGATTAATATGAGGGGTTCAGCGTCCCAAAACCACCATATGAGTTTGAGAGACGCCATAGTGGAGGGCTCCAGAAATTTCGGCCACCTGGTGTTCTTTAACGTGCACCCGAATCTGAGCACACGGGCCTACAAAACCACTGTGGGGAATATACCGCAATATATCGATGGCGCACAGGCATCGTTGTTATAAGAAGGCTTCACTGCAACACAATGGGAGAAAGCCAGCCTACAAACACCTCTTCTGTTATTGCGATAGCAGTCACATGGAGACTCTCAGCAGATTTCTGCCGCGTCGGCGCCTACTTTTCGTGGTGTCCTCACGTTGGCACATGTGATGTTCAAGGCGTGTTATCACGATGATTACTCGGTTGTTAAGTGAATTATTTTTTGTTCGTTTTGTTATTCCCCTTATTTGTCAAATACAGCTCAAGTATATATTACGCGTTTCCAGCACATAAATCTTCTTGTAAGTCAGTGCCGCTGTCTGTCTCCTTTTCTTGTCCCTCGTTATTGACGCGATTTTTATGTGAAAAAAATTATTGTTATGGCGTTACCCCATCACTGCATCATGATGTTCCAGAACGACAAAATGCTGTGACGTAATTATGACATCACTGTAGCGTCATTGTGACATCCCCTGGCGCACTATGGTACGATGACGCGATCGCTCAACATTGTAGCTTGATCGACGGTGGTCCGGTCACGGAAGCAGTGCAAAGCCTGGTAAAATGCCTTAGGCCATGGAGACAGTGCAAGACTGAAGAAGAAGATAGCTGAGGTAAACATATCAGTCAAGGAGCATTGTCACACACTATCTAGGCAGCAATTGGACGAAATCTGCAACTACGTCGATGGTCAAATGCGCAATGGCAAGACATAAAATATGTTGAAACATCTCAACAAAAACATCACCAAAAGAAATCAAAAGCATATTATCGCTTGAATGTTGCAAAAAGAGGTAGGGCTCTGTACAGAACAGCAAGTCATACAGCGACTCGAGCACAAGTACCTCCTAATCAAAACAGGGTTGGCACCATCAAGTAGACAGTATCAGGGCATGCCCGATCCCGGTCTTGAAGGCGACTTAAGCATCGAGGAGATCCGCAGAGCCTTGCATGATCTCCACGGCAGGTTGGCCCCCCGGCCGAATGGTATATCAAACAAGGCCCTTCGTAACCTTGATGACGATTCAATTGAGATACTGAAGGATATGATCA